TGCTTCCTAGCTTATGAAGATATTCTTCCGTCTGAGTCAAGAATGAGGTTAGCACAGAATATCTTTCAGCAGCATCACCAGGCATGCTTGTCTGCTGCTCCAACAACATTTCTCTATATCTTTCAACATCATTGTTCTTTAAAGCCTCCATCCTTCTGTTTCTATCATCATCTTTTCTTTTGGAAAACTCCCTCATCATTCTCTCATGATATTTGGCAACTCCTCTATTACGTGCAGTGCGAGCATCACGGATGGCCCAATGAGCCTCTAGAAGTTTTTTACGCCACAGAAAGACAGATTTCAGTTGCTTTTCTCTCATGGCTTTCTGAGAGGCTTGTACTTGTCGAGTTAGCTCCATACGTTGGCGTTCACATAGGCGCACAAACTTCCTATAGGGCCTATCAGGCATTGCCATTATCTCTTGCTGCTGTTGATCAATTTCATCCCTTAGGCGTGCCTGTAGATCTAAAAGTCGAAGCTTCTTTTCTTCAATTTGCAATCGTACTACCAAATCGGGTCGGATTCTTTTCTGCTCTAAGTTGACAGCTAGTAACCCACCAATCTTCTTTAAATTTTCTTTCCTTTTCTTATTAATAACTTCCAGACCTTCCTCAAAGAGAAGATCTTTGACATCATAAGCCAATGTTAAATTATTATTGTTATTAACTGCCATTGCTGAACCAAACGAGTCATGCTTCCTAGTGAAGTATGGGAAGTCAAAAAGGGGTCCATGATACTTCCTAGCAGCGCCAACATCTTTTGACTGGGGTGGAGTACTAGGTGGGGCCGGTTTCTTAGCTTGTGTAGCATCTGGTACAGCAGCTTGGTTTGCAATAGCCTTTCCCCTTTCTACTGGAAAATCACTTTTAGCAGGAGGCTTTTGACAACCATGATCAATTTCCTGATCTGATTTAACAGAGACTGCTGCCTGTTGCTCATCATTTCCGGAAGATCCCAAAGGAACTGTTTCCTTCATTGCAAGGGGCATAGGTTGCACATCCATAGTTGGCATCTTTGATTGTTCGTCTCCAGTTGAAACTTCCTCTCTTGGAAATCTATGCCCAGTACTCGATGCAAGAGACAGGGAGTCCTTTTCAGTAACCTCCCCACTCCCCGTTTCTTCCATAATCTTCCCAGATGGTTTATCCTGACTAGTACCTCCAGGAGGTAGAAATTGCTGCTGCAGTTGCACATCCAGAGGTGGTGGAGCAATAGCCCTTAGAAGCTCTTGTGGCAGTGTACCTTCTCCTTTCTGTCATGAAAAGAATATAAACAACACCATCCATCCAAAGATAAACCAAAAGGATCTGTCACTAAACTAGCAATTAAAAATAAACAGAAAAAGAAGAAGAGAGAATACCTTCAGCCGCCTAAATGCTAAAATTTGGGCTTTTAAGACATGCAATTGATGTTTGGTGAAACCAAATTTCTGTTGTGCTGTCTGATTAGAGTGTCCACCTTGTGGTAAGGTTGAACTGCTAGGACCCCCATCACTAGGAGGAAGAGCAGTCTGTGGAGATGATCGATTCACCTGCCTGACATACTGTGTTTGCAAATTCTCTGGGCTATTTAACGATGTTTTTCCTTGAAGTGGACGTTCAGTGCTTTGGTTCACATGCCCAGATGATTCAGAAGAATGTACTGGAGGTATTGTATTCCCAGAAACTGGTATTCTAGAAGGTAATTGGTTTTCCATGCCAGGAACGCTGAACTGCTGCATGCTGGCATGGCTAGTGTTATTAACAACACTGGCATTCATGTTTTGACCAAAAGGGCTTGTAGAAGCTATTTGCCTGGCTTTCGTGCTGCTTGACTGTCCCGATACATCACTCAATGAATTAGCATGGGCAGAAGCCTCTTTCCCAGCAAACGGAGAATTGGTCTGCTGTTTGGAGACAGAGGCAGGAGATAACTGTGATCCCATATTGTTTTCATTTCCTTTTTGATGAGGAACCATTCTAGACTGTATCAGTGGAAGAATCTGTGAAACCAAGTTTGCATTTCCAGGTAGTGAAAGATCGATATTGCGTTCTAGAGCCCATGCTTGCATAGCCTGCATCTGGGCCATAGCAAGCTGGTTGTTTGCCATGTTAGGGATTCCCGGTTGAGCTTGTGGTGCCTGCATAGACCTGGTCATGTTCACAGGCATCAAATTGCCCATGGCAGGAAGCTGAGTAGAAGATTTTGGATCGCCTCTCTGATCAGAAGTTGATGGTTGTCCCTGCTCCATTTGTTTTTCACCGCGTACAAAATGATCTGATGAGTTTTTAGATAAAGATGTCGATGCTTGATTAGACACCTGAGCCGGAATAAGTTCCTGAATTTTCTGATTTCCCATTCGCATCTCCTGATCCTTAAGAGAGCGAGGGCTCATAATTCCCATTTTAGCCTGATGCTGTGATTGCATAGCCATCGCAGACTTCTGCTGAGCAGCCAAGGCATATTGCAGATAAGCTTGATGCATAGGATGATTCATTGCTTGCTGCTCAAGTCCTTGGCTCCTGTTTTGGCTCTCCTGAGAGGAACTATGATGCTGTTGAGCCATATCCATGAATTTTCTCGCTTGCTGAGGCAAATGCGACGAACCAGATGACTGAGGAAAGTTGTTCCCAACTAATACTCCTTGGAGACCACCAGCTTGATAAGATAGAAGGGCTTCATTTCCATCAGATTTTCTGAGTAATTGTTGTTGTAGCGACTGAATAACATAATCAAAATTGTCAGACACATCAAATTTCAGTAAAATATTAACAAAATCATAAAGCCCCAGCTTGGCTTAGATGCTTGATCACCATGTGCACAAACTTTTTTAAAGCTACAAACATCCATTGATGCAAATGAAGAACAATAGGCCAATAAAATTCCCAATTGATTGATTCAGTAAAATATCGAGCTAATAAATCCACTCCAATCCCATTACGAGAAGCTGCTTATGGAGTAGCAACAATGCAGCACAGCCAATCAAAATTAACTAATCGAGTTCACAATTCACTTACACCCCCATGACTGGGAAACGGTGGCCAAGCCATAATACCAAAAGAGCTCAACTCAATTTCCAGCATTTCGTCGAACATAATAAGAGCAACATAAAGAAATTGAACAACTTTACCTGCCTAGACGCTAGCTGCTGCTGCTGCTGCTGCTGCATTGAATCAAAGCCCAAATGCGGCGTTGACACCGCCGACGACGACGACGACGGCGACGCCGCAGCTGATGTCGATGCCGCCCGTCCGGCCGGAAACCCCGGATTCCGGAGGGGGCCACCCCCACCCGATTGCATGCAAAGTTATACCAAAATTAAAACTATCAACACCGCTTCCTTCTACTTCTATTACCAACAACCCCAAACACGAAACTTCCCCTCTTTTCTTTTCTCTCACTCCAGTTTTTTTTTTTTTTTTTTTTTTTTT